TGCTTGGCAAATGAAATTTTATAAAACTCCAGCTCTATTCCAATTCACAGAGAGTGGTTTGATCCTGGCACTTGCACAGTTCTCATTGTTTTCTAATGGCTAGCAGATTCCCAGCTCATTGTTTCTTAAATGAACCCAACATAAGTTAAATAGCCCTTAAGCACAACGAGAGCTCATAGTTAGCAATTCTGTCTGAGACTGTTCTAATTAAGTATAGTATCTCATTTAATCCTCAAAGAAATTCAGTGAGATGGATGATTGAGATGAGGTAAAGGAACTTTATCCAAAACCCTGAAACAAATATGTGGCAGAATCCCATTTCAAATTGTAGAATGTTATTTTACTTCGTCTTTGTTCTTTACACTAAATTATACTGCCACCTCGTTAAGAAGACATGATGGTAAGAGTCTGAATTCATAAAAATTATAGAATATAGTAAAAATAAATTATTTTCTTTTTTACCTTTAAAAATCATGGAACCAGGTTAACCAAATGCTACCTCATAGAAGTCTGTTTTGATGAACTGGTTTCATTTCACTTCAGTGTTTATTACTAATGGTTACTTTGACATACCTTTTCCTAAATAGTACTGTCAACTCCTGATATAGCTGTCACATTGAATGTAACTGGTTTCTTTTGAAAAGAGTCTTAAGATTATAAAAATTCCATTCAAGATCTTTTAATACTTTATGATTGTTTAGAAACCCAGTCATGTCCCAGCTCTGGGAGTCATCATACATCCCATATAATTCTGTTTTAATAAACTGTTCACAATAGTCCCATAGATCCAGGAAGAAAAATTACCTGTGCAAGGTCAGACAGCCATAAGAGGGAGTGGGAACAGGACTGCAGGTTAGTGGTGGAGGACACTCGTGATTCTTTTTGGCTGACAGTAAACAACTCATCTTCCATCTCTGGAGAATTTCTCACTATATAAATCTTGATGGTAGACAAATCCACTTTTCTTTTTTTTTTTTAGTTATCAATTCTAAAAACGCAACCAATGGGCCCCAGTGGGTTCCTGATTCAACTGTTGGTGATGCAAAAGCAGGACATAGGCAAAATCCATTCTGAAGAGGGGCTGGCCGTGGCAGCGGCAGCACCTAGGTTCAGGGGCAGTAGCCAGCATCAGTGAGAGGTACAGTGAGAGGCAGAAGCAGCAGGAGTTGGGCCCAGGGCACTGACAATGACACTCTCATAGGATGAGCTCTGATTCTGCAGCTTAGGGCATTCACCCTAGCTATGGCACCTAAGCTCAGCTGGTTTCCCAGATTTGGATGAAAGTTTCTGATACACTGAAATTAAGAACCACAACACTAGAACTGCACCTCGAAAAATGTGAAGATCCATCACTTAGTTCTGAACCAAAAATTGAGCAAACACCTTGTAGCGGAGTCTGGGTTAAAAACCAGAAGGTGCAAATGGTCAAATGGTCTGGATAAGACAGGGTTGCTTCTGGACTGTTCTCCCAGAAGGCCCAGGAAGTACAACACCACAACACAACCTGTGAGCATTCTTCTCTACATCTAGCATCATGGTCACCATGAACTTAAAGGAAAAGCAAACCACACCTCAAAGCTAACTCACTAGAAAATAAAAATTTATGTAAACCTCACCAGAGCTCACCATGCTCCCAGTTCTAGAGGTTAAAGAGCATGGTGAGCTCTGGTGAGGACCTCTTGAAGGATGATATCAAGGTGGCAGCACATCAGGTGGGACGGAAAGAGAAATAACATGGAAGCCCAGGTAACAAGAGACCATTGAGTTTTATAAAAACTACTGTTTAACTAATCTACTCCTAGCAGATCTGATTCACTTCTAAGAGACACCACTAATCCATTCATGAGAGTGGAGCCCCAGTGATCCCTATGTCCCACTTAAAGATTCTCCACCTCAACACTGCCACACTAGGGACCATTTTCAGCACATGAACCTGGAGAGGACAAACCACATCCAAACCATAGCATTTAACCCTAGCTACCTACTATCTAGGGACTGGCACTAAGGTGCTGAATTAATGTTCTACGTATGGAGGTGAAGTTTGTCAACTGGTGTGACCTAACAAGAAAGAGCTCCACTTCCCTCACCCTGGTAGAATTGGATGTTCTGTGAAAGCAGGGTTCTATTGTTAGTTATTTGATGTAAACTAAACCTCTCTGACCCACTATTTTCTCATCTGAAAAACTGGGTAAAACATTATCTGTGATAAGAATTCACATAACATACCTAATTTTACATAACATACCTACAGCACATGGCCATAGTGCTTAACATTGAGCAGATGCTCAATCAGCTGTTAGCAATATTATCATTTCTAGAGAAAATAGGGCAGCTGCTTCATGATTGTTTGTAGTTGCCACTGGACCATGCTATAAATAGAGGCAAAGCATGGTACTTGTTGAGAGGCTAGTTATTATGATACAAGTTAGCAAAGCAAGGAGAGGGCTCAATAGTCCTTGACATTCAACTTGTACAAAGCCCAAGAACATGGGTTTCGGTCTTCGTCTTGTGAGCACAAAGTGGGTAGTGACACTGCTTCACCAAGTAGCTCTGTAGAACCACACCATTCATGTGGCTGCTCCTTGTCTATGTCTGCTAAATTTGTTATAGTAAAGACATTGGCAGAGCTTCAACAGTGTGTCCGTCTTCCCTTAAGGTCCAGACATTCTTTCCAGACAGTAGGCAGGCTGCTGGGTTGTTTCCTGGACATTTACTTGTTTATGAGCAGTACTGGGAATTGAACCAGGCACACTCTACCACTGAGCTACACCCCCAGCCCTCATATTTTTTGTTTTGAGACATGATTTAAGTTGCCAAGGCTGGCCTTGATCCTTCTACCTCAGTCTCCTGGGTCACTGGGACTACAGGCAAGTGCCACTGCACCTAGCTACATTTAAAATAATATGTGCCATTATATATATTTAAATCAAACAGTACAAAAGGGTGCAAGTGAGCCAGGTGCACACCTATATAACCAGCAGCTTGAGAGGCTGAGGAGGAAGATTTCGAGTTCAAAGCCAGCCTCAGCGAAAGTGAGATGCTAAGCAACTGTCTCTAAATAAAATACAAAATAGGGCTGGGGATGTGGCTCAGTGGTCGAGTGCCCGAGTTCAATACACACACACACACACACACACACACACAAAGGGTGTAAGTGGAAAAGTCAGCATTCCTGTCACCACCAAATCTCCAGGCAGATTTCCCACAGATGATAATCACTGTATTTCTTGCAGATATTTTTATGCACACACAAGAACTTATGCATATTTTTCACAGATGGCAATCATAAAAATCTGTTCTGAATATTGCTTTTCTTTTCTCCCCACTTTATCCTAAATAGCTTTCCAAATCAGGATATGTAGATTTACCTCCTTATTTTTAACTACTATATTCTTAAGGTACAGTAACAAACAAGCCCCCAGATCTCAATGAGAAGTTTCCTTCTCATTTACCTAAATCCAATTAGTGACTGAGTGAAGGCGGGCAGGAGAAGGGAGGTGTTCAGCACCTTGCTCTTATTCAGGAATCCAGGATGACCTGAGGTCCTGCCAAATTCAACACATGCTTGGTGGCTTCTGAAGTCATCCCAGGTAGCAATATCCAGCCAAAAAGTGGGGAAAGAGTGTGGAGGAGGACAAGACTTTTTTCACAATGAGCCGTGTCTAGAGGTGACATCAAACATTTCTGCCCACATTTCTACTGGTCAGAATTTGAAAATCCCATTCTAGACCTGTACTAAGAAATGTTCTGGGGCTGGGGATGTGGCTCAAGCGGTAGCGCGCTCGCCTGGCACCACATACAAACAAAGATGTTATGTCCGCCGAGAACTAAAAAATAAATATTAAAAATTCTCTCTCTCTTTCTTTAAAAAAAAAAAAGAAATGTTCTGACTGATTACTGCTTCCCTACAACAGGGCACTACATGAGTTAGGAATTTAAACATATGTGACACAGTTGCACTATATGAATGAATCCTCAATTTATTTAAGCTCTAGAAAGCAAGCATTCTCCACCCTAACCCCTGCCTTCTGCTTTTCTACTTGTCTTTTCTCAAAAGAAAATTGGGTTTTGTTTTGTTTTACAGTGTTGGGGATTTAATCCAGGGACTTGCTCACACTAGGGAAACACTCTCCACAAAGCGACATCCTCAGCCCAAAGGCAAGTTTTAAGTGTGTAAAGAGATTACCTGGTGAATGAAGAAATAAGAAAATGAGAAAAGAAATAAGAAAATAACACCTGTAGCCACTGCTTTTTTTTTTTTTGCTAGGTATGCAAATCCTCTACCACAATTCCAGCCCCTCTCTGCTTCTTGGGTATGTACCCTGATTCAGGTTTGGTGGGGATAAGAAGAATATCAATTAAAAAAACCTTTAAAGCATACATCCTGGGGCTGGGGATGTGGCTCAAGTGGTGGCGCGCTCGCCTGGCATGCGTGCGGCCCGGGTTCGATCCTCAGCACCATGTACAAACGGGTGTTGTGTCTGCCGAAAAACTTAAAAAAAAATTAAAAAATTCTCTCTGTATCTCTTTCTTAAAAAAAAAAAAAAAGCATACATCCTTTGACCCAATATCATCTTTTTAAAAAGATTTTTTAGTTGAGTTGGATACCTTTATTTTTTTTATGTGGTTCCTCACATATGCTAGGTGAGCACTATCGCTGAGCCAGATGTTTATATTTATACCTGTAGAGTAGTAATGTGGGTGTCTCCCCCCCCCTCTCCCCCCTTTTTTGCCCCTTAATGTAATCTCTCAGTATTTTAGCATTACAAAAAAACAGCAGTTCTTTTCAGCTTTAAATGGGTTGAGGTTTAAGTGATTAAAGGCAAGTATGTGAGTCAGACACGGCCTCCCAGACTCTGCCAGTCTGTTAGGTCTATCACCCAACACTCAAGTTGCTATCAGGAGCACTTTTCTCTGTCAAAGTGACTGGCTTTTGTCATGCAATCCCCACTAATAAAGGGAAGACAGGACAGCCCCAGAGCAGTCAGTAGAACAAACTGCCTTGTCAGGTGAGTCTGTGTGTAGAAGTTTGCCATGCGTCTGGCTCTACATGGGGAACACCATCAAGGCCCTTGTGGCCTTCATCCCTGGTGACCGTTGCCAGAACTACGTGGTCGGAGACCTCCAGGAGATGCCACTGGACAAAATGGTGGATCTGAGTGGGAGCCAGCTACGCCGCTTCCCTGTGCATGTGTGCTCCTTCACAGACCTGGTCAAGCTCTACCTCAGTGACAACCACCTCAATAGCCTGCCTCCAGAGCTGGAGCAGCTGCAGAACCTGCAGATCTTAGCCTTGGATTTCAACAACTTCAAGGCTTTGCCTCAAGTGGTATGTACCTTAAAACAGCTCTGCATCCTCTACCTGGGCAACAACAAACTCTGCAACCTCCCTAATGAGCTGAGGCTGCTCCAGAACCTCCGGACCCTTTGGATCGAAGCTAACTGCCTCACCCAGCTGCCGGACGTGGTCTGTGAGCTGAGTCTCCTTAAGACTTTGCATGCAGGCTCCAATGCGCTGCGTCTTCTACCCGGTCAGCTCCAGCGCCTCAGCGAGCTAAGGACCATCTGGCTCTCAGGAAACCTGTTGACTGAATTTCCCGCTGTGTTGCTTCAGATGCCTTTACTGGAGATAATTGATGTGGACCGGAACAGCATCCGTTACTTTCCCAGTCTGGCCCACTTGTCAGGTCTGAAGCTGGTTATCTATGACCATAATCCTTGCAGAAATGCGCCCAAGGTAGGGAAGGGTGTGCGCCGTGTTGGAAGATGGGCAGAGGAGACACCAGAGCCCGACCCCAGAAAAGCCAGGCGCTATGCATTGGCCAAGGAAGAAAGCCAGGAGCCACTGGCCCCTGCCCTATGTCCTTCTCTTTCTCCCAATTCTTAAGGAGCTGCAGTCCATCAATGTCAAGGACCCAACTGCACGCTCTCAAGATTTCTTCATTACAGTGGGATTATTCTGTGTCATTTGAGGGGTTAATGCAAAGCAATAAAGGAACACTAAGAAGTTTCTGACCAACAGCATCTCTTCCAAAGAAAAACTGTGTGCTATCAGTTTCCTTGGAAACCCAGAGTGCTCATAATTTCTTTGCAAGAAAAAAAAGCTTCTCCAAGCAGTTATTTTGAGCAAGAAAGGCTCACATTTGCCTCTTTCACACTCCAAAAGTGACTAATGAGGCCCATGAAATCCTCAAATAAGGTATTTGTTAAAGAACCCACTAACTGTTCAGATGATCTAGCCCTGGCAGGACATATTTCTTTACTATGAATGACAATGAACTTTAACAAGGTATTGTTTCTAATTCAGGCCACCAAAAAAGACATTTTTATTTAGCAGATTCACACAAAAAAAGTTGTTTATTGTTACAGAGGCTCAAAACAAAACATTTCCCCCACCATTTTAGCACCTGTTGAAGAAAAGATCTCAGATGGAGAATTTCTCTTGGGGTTCGTTCAGATGTTACTTTAAACTTAATAGTGTTTCATGCCGATTTCTCATTTTCCCCAAAGGTTTAACTCAAGGTCTACTACCATCTGTTTAGGGAGCTTAGATATCACCTACAAAATAGAACCTCTTTCCTTTGCCATGCAGTCTCACTGAAGTCACACCTTGGGTTATTGTTTTTTTTTGTACCGAGGATTGAACTTGGGGGTGCTGGACAACTGAGCCACATCCACAGCCCTATTTTGTATTTTATTTAGAGACCAGGTTTTCAGTGAGTTGTTTAGTGCCTTCGGTTGTTGAGGCTGGCTTTGAACTCGTGATTCTACTGTCTCAGCCTCCTGAGCCCCTGGTATTATACACATGCACCACAGTGCCCGGCACACCTCGAATTTTTGCCCACTACTTCCCTCTCCACCACCAGCAAAGCCCTTCTGCTTATTACACTAAGAAACTGAGCTGAATGGAATCCCCCATCACTGGAGAAAAATCACATCTTCAGAATCATATTAAGTTAAAGGCAATAGGTGAGAAACCTGGTATTTGAACTAAGTACTTTGAAATTTGAATTGCAGACTGTAGAATATATTGGAAGTTTGCCTCTTTTTAAAAAATTTTAGATGTTGGTGGACCTTTATTTTATTCATTTATTTATATGCAGCGCTGAAAATTGAACACAGTGCCTCTCACATGCTAGGCAAGTGCTCTACCGCTGAGCCACAACTCCAGCCCTGAAGTCTGCCTCTTTATCCTCAGTGTATCTGCTTTAGTTCCAGTTTAATTTTTGTAGTTTTTCAACACTGTACAAACCTAGGTATTTTGGCCATTATTTTGTTAAATATCTCAATTGCGACCTTCCCATGAATATACAAACTTAAAGAAATTGCTGTCAGTGGGTGATTTAATAAACTTTTCAGCACACTAGGTCAGTTATCTAAACTGAAGCACAATGTATTGAATATTTAAGGGAAAAAAAAAAAAGTACTTTTCCCATAAGAGCACTTTAACCCAGTAAAGGTTAGTTCTAAAATGAAATAAGACTCACATTTGCCAGAAATATTTCTTGTTACTACAGAGTTAAGTACCGTGTCACCACCTCCCATCTGTAGACCATCTGCAACCCACTGATCAGTCATCCAAGGAACCCTTTTAATCATTAAATAGATTTGTACTATATATAAGTTTTTAGTAATGAGTCCAGATTTCTATTAAAACAGAATTTCTCTATTTTCTTATTTCTAATAATTAAAATCAAATGATGTTAAAAACGTTTGTCCAACAGAATTTACCTTCTAAACTTTGTACCAGTTTATGGATTAGTTTTTGTGTTTTTTTTTTTTTTTGAGAGGGAGGGGAGATAACAGGGATTGAACCCAGGGGTACTTAATCACTGAGCCACATCCCCAGTTCTGTTTTGAGACAGGGTCTTGCTAAGTTGCTGAGGCTGGCATCAAACTTGAGAACCTCCTGCCTCAGCCTCCTGAGCAGATGGGATACAGGCATGCCCCAACACACCTAGTGCTGACTTTGTTTTGAATTGTCTTTCTCCTCCCTAGTTTAATGGGCCCACAGTTTCCAATGTAAGCTGCAGGCTACACAGTTATAAAACTGAGTGAAGTCAATTATCCATATAATGTTCTCACTGAATGAACTTACTACTCTGCGTCAAAATGTTAAAATTATAAACATTTTGGCCTATGGTCAAGCTGTTTTGTTGTTCTAAAACAATATACAATGAATAAATATTTATCAAACTAATAGTTGTGATTTTGCTGTCCAAAAATGTTTTTAGTGTAAATTTTTCAATTTTATAAAGCATGTAACTGTGTGTATAAATATAAATATACATAAATACACATACATACATACATTTTTCTTTGTTTGGGGGCAGGGTTACTAGATATTAAACCAGTAAAGGTTAGTTCTAAAATGAAATAAGGCTCACATTTGCCAGAAATATTTCTTGTATCACTGAGCTACACTGCAGTCCTTTTTGAGACAGGGTCTCACTAAATTGCTCAGGGTGGCTTCCAACTTGTGATTCTCCTGCCTCAACCTCCAGATTACAAGCATGCACCACGATACCCATCTGCCTACTTGTGTTTCTACAACCCTGCTATCTTGGAGATGCTGACATTATTAGATAGTAAAGTAATGGAAAAATACTACAGCAACAAATACAACTTTTTTTACTCCTTAGTATTCATGTTATTATTAAAATGAAAATTTCACCGGGCACAGTGGCACATACCTGTAATCCCAAGGGCTTGGGAGGCTGAGGCAGGAGGATCTTGAGTTCAAAACCAGCCTCACCAATGGTGAGGTACTAAGAAACTCAGTGAGACACTGTGTCTAAATAAAAAACAAAATATGGCTGGGGGGATGTGACTCAGTGGTTGAGTGCCGGAGTTCAATCTCTGGTACCCACCCCCTGCCAGGAAAGAAAAGACTTCTTTTAGAACTATATTCTCTCCAGTGCTGGGAACAGATCCGGGATCTCACACATGCCATGCGAATGCTCTGCCACTGAGCTACACCTTAGCTTTCTTTTAAAACTTGATAATTGGATTTTAGCTTCTGTAAGAGAGATATCAACTAACCTTTAACATAAATCCCACAGAAATGAATCAGCAACCAAATTTCCTTTTTTATTTTATACTGTCATGCAACATCACTATTTGTAATTTTATGCTTAAAAAGTCAACTGAACTCAACCTTAACTAAAAGCACATGAGTGATCCAGAAACAGTATAGCATCATAGCTGTGAGCATGGTCCTTCATACCATCTGGGATCAAATCCAGGCTCTGCCCTTACTGGTCAGTTACCACCTTTGTCCCATTTCCTTATCAGAAAAACAGTTAGTTTCTATCAAATAGGGCATTGTAAGGATTAAACCAATTACTGTGTATAAAATGAACAGAACAGTGCCTGGCATGTGACAGTAAATGTTTACATACCATATTCTTTTACTAATAAGTACAATACTTAAATTTACCCTAAAATCAGTATAAATCCTTGCTTAAAGGAAAAAGTATAAACGGCTATAGACCACTCTCCACCATCAACACATTTTTCAACTATAATATCTATAGTACTTAATGTAAAAAATATAACCACAACATTGTGTCAAATTCTCCTGGTTTACCTGTAAAGAACACACCTAGTTCTTAAGGAGTTCATTTTTAAATTTTAAGTGAATATTCTCTGCCATTTCCATTATTCTAGAAATCAAAAATCATCAAAGCATTTAAAAATGTAAAAATTGCTATTAAGTTTCAAAGCCAAGCACAATGGCAAACACCTACAGTCCCAGCTATTTGAGAGGCAGATTCTAAGTTCAAAGACAATCTCAGCGACTCATCATGAAACTCAGCAACTTGGCAAGACTCATCTGAAAATAAAAAAGAACTAGGAACTGGGGATGCAGCTTAGTGGTAAAACACTCCTGGATTCAATCTCGGGTTTTGTCTCTTTAGTTTTTGTGGTACTGAGGAATCAAACCCAAGGCCTCATACACACTAGATTAATCATTAAGTGGATCAACTCTATACTGAAAATGCAATCATTCACTTCCATTAAGCATATTTCAAATAGGTTACACAAAGATCATAAGACATAAGAACTAAGTAATTGTTCAAAATTTTAATGCACGCTATGAGAAATGAACTTTTAAATCAACTGAATTGTATGGAAAATGAAACAGCAAATAAATTAGACCCACGTTAAAACAGAAGGTCAGCTAATGTCCAAACTTAAGGATATAATGGGCACAGCCAGCCATGGATTCCACAGGTTTCTTCTAAAGGTTGAAATCTTTCAAATATAACTTTATTATGAACTGGTCCAAAGATCAACAGCATTTGGGAATGCTTAACAGGGATGATGATCAGGGACACGTTTCCTGTAAGGAAAAACCATACAATTAAGAAAAATGTCAAAGATGAAAAGCATGATGTTAACCAAAGTTTTATACTACATACAGATAACCAGAATTCTAATTTTATTAAAATCATTAGAACTCAAATTTCCTACAAAGGATGTTTCTACCTCTGACTAACATTCTTCAAGTAGCATGTTATTAGAGGCCATTAGAAAATCTGTGGAACGCAAAGGCCTGTGGATATTTGCTATTCTCAACTTCTCATCCAAACACCCTACCTAAGATACACACTCTACACTCTGTCATGTATACCTAAAAAAACAAAGCAAAAAACAAAAAAAGAACATTCTCGAGAAAAAAAGGGTTAATCCATGTTTTTTACTAATACATGTTAGGAAATTTTACTGTATTAGATACAGTTACTTTTTTGTGTGTTTTTAATAAGGTTGATGAACCTTTATTTTATTAATTTGTATGTGGTGCTGAGAATCGAATCCAGTACCTCACACATGCTAGGCAAGTGTTCTACCACTAAGCTACAGCCCTAGCCCTAGACACAATTACTTTAACCAGAAGTCCAAAAAATGGCAGGACACTGAAGATTCTAGATGAATCTAGAATCATAACAAAAATATCCCTTCACAACTTTTATTCTCTAATGACCACAGAGTAAGGACATATAAGGATCTTTTGAGAAGAAAAGATGGTAAGGATACAGGGAAATTTTTAACTTTGTGATTCAGAAACACTCTTTCTAAAGGCACAAAAAAACAGTAAAGAAAAGTAAAAGAACAGACTCAAAGAACATAGTATTAAATCTGGGTCATACAGAAATAAACACCTTCCAACTCAGTAGTTTATGTGCAAACTAGGTTCCTACCATGTCAAAAAAATTTATTAACCAGTTATCACTGGGCACTAATCTGAAAAGCACATTCTCTGGTGGTTAAGAAAAGAATATGGCCAGGCGCAGTGGCATGCACCTGTAATCCCATTGGCTTGGGAGGCTGAGGCAAGAGGATCTTGAGTTCAAAGCCAGCCTCAGCAAAATTGAGGTGCTAGGCAATTCAGTGAGACCCTGTCTCTAAAATACAAAATAAGGCTGGGGATGTAGCTCAGTGGTGGAGCGCCCTGGTACCAAAAAAGAAAAAGAAATATGAAAAATGAGTTTGGCTAAGCGAAAAGTAGTCATGTTTCTTTACTGCAAAAATATACGTTTCAAATGTGGTTGAGGACACAGGAGATTGTATAACAAATCCTCATACACCTTACCCAGGATTAATAATTTACTACATCTGTTTATTCCTTCTTTATGTCCTCTGTTGGATGCTCTGCATCTTTCCGAACTTATTATAGGAGTTCTGCAGCACTCAGTTCTTAAAAACTCTTCCCTTATTTACGACATTCACTTGTAGAGAGTCAAGCAGTCTCCTGGCTTGAAACCCCTATCTGCCTTCCCTCTTTCTCAGTCTTTGCATTTCAGAAAAGAAATTCATTTCTTCAGGCAAAATCCTTGAAATATTTTTAAATTCTCTTTCCTCTCACACCCTGCATCCAACTCATAATTAAAACCCTACTGGTTCTACTTTCAAAATAGATCCAGTCAATCCCTTCTCATTACCCTTATACCACAATATCCTGGTCCAAACTACTATACTCTCCCATCTCCTTGAACCAATACTAATAGTAAATATGAATGACTAATAACTACTAAGAGCAAGTGAAAATCATTAACTGAATCTTCATCTTTCCCTTTAACCCTTTCCCTTTTTTGGTGGGGGGAGGGGGCGAGGGAGCACTGAGTAGTGGGGATGAAACTCAGGGCACCCTAAATCACCAAGCTACCTGCCCAGCCCTTTTTATCTTTGAGACACAGTCCTCACTAAGTTGTTGACGCTGGCCTCAAATCTGCAATCCTCCTGAGTTGCTACAATTAAAGGCATAAACCACTGGGCTCAGCTTGTCCTTAACCATTTCTATGTGAATGAGAACTTAAGTTGCCAAAAATAAAACCTATAAAGAAACCTTATACAATTCGTGCTTAAAAATGTCTAAATAGAAGTATACCCAGGACAGAAAACAATGGAAGCTTACTCATCCTGGTTAAAAAAAAAAAAAAAAAACATAGGTTATAGGTTATTATAACACTGCTACCCTTAGCCCCCAGGCTCCCTGATATTTAAACTTTCTAAATCTGGCTCTTTATGCGCCCTTTCAATCCTGAAAAGCTAGCATAGTTGTTCATGCTCCCTTTCCCAAAAGCTTTCCTTAAGAATTGAGACTACTTTAAATAACTTAGGGACTCTTTTAACTAGGCAAATATGTTTCTGTGTCTCATTAACTAAGGTATCAAGTAAAAGTGCTCCACTTGTCTCAGTGTTAGTAATTTTTTCTAGAAACTAAAAGTGCTCTGATACCTTGGTGCTGCTTTGATGATATTGTCCACACGTAGAATCACTTCTGCTGCTTCAGCTGCACTCAAAAGAACTTGCCGCTTCACTTGGAAACTTTCTGTGATGCCCAATACTGCCATATCTCCTATGGTACCTTCTTTCATATCTGAAAAGAAAAACTTATAGTTTAACAACTGAAGTATCAAAACATCTTTAATGATTTATAATAAATAAAATGAAACCTGTTTAAAAAAAACAGTCTAAGATTACAACACCCAACTACTTGATATAGTTAGCAAATTAGTTCATAAAAGAATTCAGGAAAGCCTTTTTAAAAATTAAAAGATCTAGGGACTGGGGTTGTGGCTCAGTGGTAGTGGGCTTGCCTAGCATGCATGAGGCACTGGGTTCAATTCTCAGTACCATATACAAATAAAT